CCAACAGCTGGACACATGAGGGCCACCAAACAGAGAACCCGGATGGAAATGCTGACCCTTCCGCGGTCAGCTCGCTCAGGCCGCTGTGGAACTGTTTTGTGGATAGTGGCTCTCAATGCGTCGGTCATGCCCTTCATTCTGTCTTATCCGAATACCCTCCAGCTGTGAGGGGAGCAGAAGGAGGGGAAGAAACACGAGTGTCCAGGCTGATGGGGTCCACAGTGCACAGCCAAGTTCTGGCGTGTGGGGCCTTCACAGCTGCCCCGTCAGCCTGCAACCAGGTTCATCTGACTGGCGACACGTTTTGCAAGCTTCCCTATCATCCTTGGGGCAAACGTCTCCTATTTTTCAGTGTGAGCTCCCCACTACTTTCTGTGATGAAAGGCTGCCCCTGGCACATGCGTGGGGTGGTGGCCAAGGTTCTTTTTATCCTCTTCAGCCTCATTTCTTCAACACTTATCTGTCCTCCTCGCCCCAAGAGGAGGACCTGTGGCCACCCTTGAGGCCTGGCTTCTTGATCCTTCACCTAAACTCTTCGCCACTTTGTCCCCACTTCCAGCCTCTCCCACCACATCTGTGCTCCATCTACTGTAGCCAGGTTTCTTGGTTTAGCTTAGACTGGCGTCACCCAGAAACCAACAACAGTTGCTCATCACTAACCGTCTGATGCTTCTATTTCGTGTGTCTCCATCTGGCTCCTGCCTACTACTTCAACCTGCCTTTCTGTCTAGATTCTACTTCAATTGATCCAGAACCTCATTGCTCACCCATATGACTGCAAGTGTCTTTTCTTCCTGTCTTTGCTCTTCATTTCTTCCAGCCGCACCACTGTTCACCCCAATTTCAATGCCTAAAAGTAATCTACCTTTCAAAATTCATCTCAAGGGCCACTTCCTCCATGAAGGCTTTTCTGACAGAAGACCATTGTTCCTTCTTGTAGTCCCTAAAGTATTGAAATTTTTTGAAATTTCTTTTGTTGTGTACAATCTCTCCTCTTTCAGCAGTGGTTCTTAATTCATTCTCAGAGTCAAGTGAGATACTATTTAAAACTGTATATGCCTGGGTCCTACCTCAGAGATTCAGACTCAGAAGCTACAGCAAAATACCACAAGCTATGTAGTTCATAAATCAAGAAACATAATCATTATTCTAAAAGCCAGGAGTCTCAGACTTCTCCATATGGAAAGAGTGAGAGAGTTCTCTGGGATCCCTTTAATAAGGGCACTAATCCCCCTCTGGAGGGTCCCGCCTTTATTGCCTACCTCTCAAAGACCCCTCTCCCCACTACCAGAACATTACCCTGAGAATTACAACACATGGATTTGGGGTGGAGAAAACTCAATATCCATTCCATAAAAGGATCCTACCTTTTTGCCTTTTTAATAGACAATCTAATGTTCAGCCAAAGCTGAACAGCTTATTTTGCATTATTTGTGAAAGAACAAAGGGTATTACTAGGAACAGTGAATGGAAAGGTAAATTTGCATCTTGTATCTGAACCTCAGTTCACTTGCATTTATTGTTTTTAAATGTGTCTAGTACAGAGTGTACAGGATCCTACTACACAGATCAGACTCCTAGTGATCCTCCTGTTTTCAGCCTCCCGAGTGCTGGGATTATAGGCGCACCACCATACCCAGTCTCAATCACCATCTCAGTGCACCCCAGGGGCAGGGTCGGCATGGCACACCAGGAATTGAACCCAGATCCTTGTGCCTGCCTAAGCAGGTGCTTTAGTCTGTGGAGCTGTCTGGCCGCCCATTACTTGTGTTTAAAATGGGGATAATAACCATAGTTATAAAGTTTAAGGGAGATAATAGATAGCAGACATCTTAGATCCCTACTAAGTGTAGGGAATACCCATTTCCCTCACTTGGTGATAAGCTGCCAGGCTAGCCCAGGGTTTACCACGTAATAGTGTAAGAGATCTGTGCTCTCTGCAGAAAGGGTAATTCACACATACACATGCTCCCTGGCTAAACTGAGTACTCGCTGGGAAAGCAAGTGTATAGATGTCCCTTCACCACATGGTGGCTTAACTTTGAAGTGCCCCTCTTTTTGGTAAAGAGGAACTTTGAGCATTGCTAACTCATTCACAGAACAGACGTGTAAACTAACATAGCCAGAACCCAAATCATGTTTATGATATGGAGAAAACCACACCAGAGCGTTTACACAGAGACTTCCAGCAGGTGGTCTGATCTTATCCTTGACCCCCTCTGGGCTTTGCTACTGCACCAGCTCAAAGATGCAAGCTGTGGATCTCAAAAGAACTTGGAAGATTTGCAAAAAGTTGCCTCAGTAGTACGCGGCAGAACTACAACCTGAGCCCATCTGATTGAATTTGCATTCCAATGATGTTCGCCCAAGAATTGTCCTGGTTGACTTGATCTTCGTGTGTAGGTGTCCACTGCACGCCTTCTGTCCACTGGAGCCCGCAGTGTGTGACAGAGAAGCCGCGTTGTCTCTGCCTGTGTGAACCAAGCGGGGCACGCCGCTTCACTGGGCTCACTTGTGTGCTTAGCACGCTGCGCTACTCCTTCTACTGGGTCACACACCTCACTGGCAAACTCCTACTCCACCATCAGCATCGAGACACACGTGCACATGCGCATGCACACACACACACACACACACACACACACAGCACTGCACACTGCATCCAGCTGGGCCTACTGTTCACAATCCAGACCCATTCTACTTTTAAAGCACAAACTCTGAAGAACGAAGTCCTCCAGTTCGAGATTGTCACCTAAAGCACTGGCCATTACATTTAGAAGAAGGTATAATTAAAACCCTTTTAAGCATTATAGATCCTTGAAATAATTTAACATAGGAGCAGACAAATATTAATATTCACAGACAAGGGGTTTTCTTCACTAACGACTTAATATGAAGGAAGCTACATTTAAGTTGTTTACTCAAAAGAATCTTGATCTTAGGAACATGTGAGTAACTTGTTAGGGGACAGTATAGGCAGAGTTGCCTGACACATCTACGTGTCCATCACCCACCCCCACTGTGTGGTCTGGTTCACATTCCACCTCCATCCTGAAGCCCATTCGGATTCCTCTGCCCCTGTAATCTCATTTTCCCCCGTAGCATCTCATCTGAACTTCTGTTAGCTTGTTAGCTATCCAGGACCCATCCCGGCACGTGGCATGTGGCATGGGGCATGGGGCAGGGCATGATTGTTGACTGATGGAAGGAATCGACATCAGGACATTAATCTGCCATCTAGGCATTGCTAACCCAGGACATGTTGCTTTGGATTGTTTGCAAAGCTTCTGAGAAACGTCTGGAAGGAGCAGAACTCCTTTGCCGTGTGTAGCAAGCAAAGGCACTGTTTACTGCTGTGTTACTTATCATACATATTGACATATGCACTTATATGCAAAAATGCCTGCCCTTGCAAGGTGTGTGTGTGTGTGTGTGTGTGTGTGTGCGTGCACATGCGCACACATGCACACATGTGCAGAGTAATACACACAGGGGCTGGGGAGATAGCTCAGTGGTCTAGGCACCTGCCTGGCAAGCCCAAGGACCCAGGTTTGATCTCCAGCACCACAAGCCATGCCTGCCCCATGCCAAGCTGGGAACTGAAACCAGGCATGTGGTGCACCCCTGTAATCCCAGCACTGTGGAGGCTGAGACAGGAGGATCACTACAAGTCCGAGCTGCACAATGAGACCCTGTACCAAATACATAAATGTAAGATTTTTTAAAAAATAAAAATTAAAAAGAAGTAATATGCACAAAGACTATAGGGCAATATGCATCTGGAATCAAAATAAAGGACTCTATGTAATTTTGAAAAGCAAGCCCAGAGGCCTCTGGCCAATATAGCCACCTATGTAGACACGTTGCCTGGAAACCCTCTTTCCGCATCATTCTTCCCTGGGGATATGTAAAACCTCTCTCTTGCTCTCGCTCTCTCTCTCTCACTCTGGCTCTCTCTTTCTTTCTCCCTCTCTCATTCTCTCTCTCTTTCTCTCACTCTC